TGAGGTGATGCACGTCCCTGTCACCCTGATTTGATCATAGCACATTGTAAACATGTGTCCAAATATCACATGTGCCCCCAGGAATATGTACAACTGTGATACATCCATTAAAAACACACAGAATAGATGTGCTCAAAAACATGAAAATGATGAGGCTCGTCTTCAAAGGAGATTTCTGGGAGCCATAACTTAGGCAGACCCCACTACAAAATTAGTCACAAGGGAATCTCAGGGGATCAGAGGTTACAAATACTCAAATGATCATTTCAGACTCTGTAAATTTTATAAGCATCCATCTCAAATATTAGACCACCAGAATAGTGTAAATTATGTTACTTCATACCAAATTTAGATAGAATTGGAATGATAGAAAAAATAAAAGAGCCAAGTATGTTAATCAAATTTCTTTGTACATCAAAGGCAAGGGTTCTAGCAGGTTCTCTGTGAATTTGCATTCGGATGAGAATTAGTCCTTAGTGTAGCCCCCGCAAGTGTCTAAACTATGGCGAAAGTAGAGACTGGAAGAGAATAAATTGAATTTTCACTTCAACTTCTTTGCAATTATAGAAAGCTATTTACATTATAGGTATCAGATAGGATCATTCTCAGTCACTGAACAGCAAAATTCTCCTGCCATTAGCAGGCATGTCATTAGCTACACTCTTTGACATTCATTATCTCTCCCTAGCAATATTCAATTTATTCCCTTTATAATAACTCTCCACTACATTAAATCAATACCAAGATATTGCCCATATATTCATGTTGTGTTAAAGAGTATAAATTGAAGTACTTTGTATTAACAGTTGAGTTGAATTCCACTTTAAGAGAAATGTGAAAATTGGGGATTAAACTTCAAATTTTAAAAAACTGATAGACTTTAATTACAGTTTGAGGAAGAATAGAGTTGGCAAAATAAATTCGTCTGTTCATCCACTTCTATATATTTCTGCAGCAACCACTTGCTTAAAATAGTCCCTTTAAATATCTTCATTAATTACCCAGGTTTTAGAATACAAAAGAAATAGAAATTCAGCATTTCAAAAGCAAAGATGATTCCTCCCCTCATCATCAGCGAGACCAAGGCTGCAGAACACGTTCATTTTGGGAGCATCGGAACGCAGAGGAAGGATGAGGGGCTTCACCATCACCCCTTTCAAGAAACCGCTCAAGGGCGCCTGTAGTCCCAGCTACTCGGGAGGCTGAGGCAGGAGAATGGCAGGAACCCGGGAGGCGGAGCTTGCAGTGAGCTGAGATCTGGCCACTGCACTCCAGCCTGGGCGACAGAGCGAGACTCTGTCTCAAAAAAAAAAAAAAAGAAAAAGAAAAAAAAAACCGCTCAAGCCCCAACGCCTCCAGCTGTATCTTGACCGCAGCGGCCCCTCCACTCCCCTCACCCCAACTCAGAGCCCTGCCAGCTCCATCCTAGGCCACATGGGCAGGGGCTCCAGCCTTCCTTCTCCAGTCCTCCCCTCCCTTCTGTTCCCAGGCTGGCTGGCAAATCAGCTCCATGGAAGAGCAGCCTGTCTTGAAGTGGATTTGTGAGCAGCACGAGGCCCCGGTGTTAAGATGCCTGACAGACAACCTTCCATTCTTTTCTTCTTTTCAAGACTGAAATGATGCCAAAGTGTTATCCGAGTTATTTGCTTTTATTAAAGTTATGCTTTCTTCATCTTTTTCATACCCTAGAAGCAATGGAGAATTAGATGATATTCAGGAACTATTGTCACCTTCGCGGGGGTGACAGTGGCCCTGGTTCTACAAGGTGGTCGCAGGTAAAGGGCTCAGGAAGAGATACCACAGGACAACACTAACAGCCGTCTCCACAGAACGGGGAGGGAGCTGTGGGTTCCACTTTTCTTCCCCATTTTCTGCATGTGTGAAAAGCTTCATAATAAAACTGTGGGGAGCAAAACAATCTTCACTTTAGAAAAATAAGACAAGACAGAAAAGGATGTTTTTAAGTCCATTATCCCACCCAGGACAAAACATGTGGCACAGAATGCCAGACCTTCCTGTTCTGAAAAACGAGAGACGCACCGCACACCCTGGTGTGTGGTCGACTCCCGGGTCACAGCGTGTCATAAGCCCTCTCAAATCAAAGTTATCTCTGCAACGTCATTTTCGCCTGGCTCATAGCATTTTATTACATGAACATTAAGGCCCTTTGTGCCCATGACATGTGGTTCTTCTTCCCTAAAGCAGCGCCCTAGCTTGGGCGGCAGGATGCCAGGGTCTCTGATGCCAGTTTCTGTATCGTGTGGAACGAATCTCACCAGTAACTGTCTCTGGGACTGACTGTTAAGGAATATTTGGGGAAAGAGCTGTTGTTGTGGAAGAACCCCCATGGGGGTTGAGTTCACTTCCCTGGACCTCGGTTTCGACTTCTGGAAATGCTGTCTAGGCTTCCACGGTCGGGTTGCCCTGGGAGCCAGCGGGGGCATCTCCTAAACGCTCGAAAGAAACGGACTCTCTGGCCCACCCAGACCCCATGAGTCAGGCCATGCCTGGCACAAGATTCCCAGGCGAGGCATAGGTGGGTCTGCAGAGTCCCCTGAGCTCCAGGCACCTGCACGTCTCCAGGCAAAACCTCGAGCACATCAGTATTCCCTCGCGAAGTACGTAAAGCCGCAGACGTAAGTGGGGATGGATCTCCCGCCTCTGCGTTCAAGGGGGCAAATCTCCAGGATAAGTGCCCCCTTTTCCTTCCAGTGAAAGCAGGAGAAAGGGCTGGGCTAGTTAAACCAGCAGCACTTTCAGTTTTAGGGTGTGTCGTGTAGGTTAGTGATTTGTGCTCTGCAGAGAATCTCCAGGGAGAATAAAAAGAGCAGGTGGAATAATCAGCTTGGCCGGAAGAAGCGGAAGATGCCTCCTGAGCAAGCTCAGGAAGGACAGCCCCACCTTGAAGCACCCGTGCTGAAGGCCATGACGGGGAGACTTGGTGTGAACTGAGAGGCGAGGAGATGCTTAGATCATCTGCCCCCTGCCTGGTGGGCAGCCTGGCCCCAAGTGCTGACCTGGGTACAGAAAAGCCACATACGTGTACTGGGCACGCTCTATGGAATGACGTTGAATTGTTGCTCCAGTAAATAAAACCTAGCAGAGATCCGTGGGCCCGGGGTGCACTGGTAAGAAATGGGTTCCAGTGGATTCCTGTGTGGTTTTGAAGATCATGGTGAGCTAGGATCTACCAAAGCTATTATTTACAAAGTGGGGACCAGGCTGACAGCAGACGCAAGAGTGGGTGTGAACACAGGGGAGGAGGAAAATGAGGAAGCTCAGAAGGCTCGGAGACAGACTCCTTGAACAGAGTATTTTTTTTTTTTGACTAGTCTAAACGCAAAAGTAGCTGCACCTATTTTTCTTGATTAAATTATTTCCACTGATAGAATTATATTATGGCCAGTCATGGTAGTTCACGCCTGTAATCCCGGCACTTTCAGCGGCCAGGATGTAAGGGTGGCTTGAGCTCAGGAATTGGAGGGTATAGTGAGCTACCTGCCACTGCACTCCAGCCTGGGTAGCAGAGCAAGACCCTGTCTCTAAAACACACACACATACGAGCCAGGTGCGATGGCTCATGCCTGTAATCCCAGCACTTTGGGAGGCCAAGGCAGGCTGATCACTGGAGGTCAGGAATTCAAGACCTGCCTGGCCAACATGGTGAAACTCTGTCTGTACTAAAAATACAAAAATTAGCCGGGTTTGGTGGCAAGCGCCTGTAATCCCAGCTACTCCAGAGGCTGAGGCAGGAGAATCGCTTGAATTCAGGAAGTGAAGGCTGCAATGAGCCAAGATCACGCCGCTGCACTGCAGCCTAGGTGACAGAGACTCCATCTCAAAATAAATAAATAAAAATAAACACACACACATACAGTATATTCTTTTTAAAAATTTTACGGCTGGGCACAACAGCTCACACCTGTAATCCCAGCACTTTGGGAGGCTGAGATGGGCAGATCACTTGAGGTCGGGAGTTCGAGACCAGCCTGACCAACATGGAGAAACCCTGTCTATACTAAAAATACAAAATTAGCCAGGCGTGGTGGTGCGCACCTGTAATCCCAGCTGCTGGGGAGGCTGAGGCCAGAAAATTGCTTGAACCTGGGAGGCGGAGGTTGCAGTGAGCCAAGGTCACACCGCTGCACTCCAGCCTGGGAGATAAAGTGAGACCCTGTCTCAAAAAAAAAAGAAAAAATTACTATTTGATTAACCAAATAAAGTCATTGCAATTAGGAACCATTTGTAGATTAATTCTTCCTACCTCACTAAACTGTGGTCTGCTGACTCAGCACTTCAGAAGTGTAGCGTGCGCATTACACGTTTACTGGGTACCTGGATTGGTGAGTTTAGTAGCTGTGAGCGTATTCAGAAACTCGTGACCCTTTTGCCATCTCCAGGAGAGGAGCCACGTCTTAGCTGCTACGACCTTCCTGTGCGGCCTCTGTCCACACAGACTCTTCCTACATAACACACACCTCACAGCACTGCCAGGAGACAGCGGCCCACAGTCCACTAGAAATTATTTAATCAAATCCAATGAGAGAACACATATGGATGTGTTTGTTTTCTAAAAATGAAGGAATTCGCACCTAACCGAGTTCACTAACACGTCACGGAGTCCATAAAAACAGGAAGAACTCAAGGTTGCTTTTACTCACACGTGTTCTTGTGTCTTCCAGCTCATCCAAACAGCAGCACTGAAATAATCTCGATGCCAAAATAAGGAAAACTCCCCGAGGTACAGGCCGCCTTTTAAACTAAGTTTCTCCCAATACCCAAGGAGAATGTCCCCGCGGTGACATCTGGTCATCTCTGGATTTCCTTCGTGAGCTGGAGACGGAGCAGGCGGAGGCCCGACTCACCGGCGAACGCACTCGGCACCATGAAGTCCTCGGAGTTTCCTCTCCAGCGGGACCCGCTCCCTTGGTGTGATGTTTCTGCTTTTGTTTAATCGACCCAGTTTTGAAGCTGTTGTTTTTTGTTTTTGTTCTAAACAGTTCTCGGGAAAATCAGGAGTGCCGTCGGGAGTGCCCAGCTTCTCATGTCCCAGAAATTCCAGCAGTTTTATTGGCTTTGCCAACAGAATATGGTAAGTGGGTCCTCAGGGAACCCCTGTTCCCTGTAACCAAGTTAATGGGCGTCGTTCCCTAGATCCTCACTGTTTTCTTCCTTGTCAAAGGGTTCCTATCGGTATATGCAGAATGTCACACGCATTACACAGAAGAGACTTCCGCCCTGGGGACAGAGACGATAGGCCCTGGTTTAAACGTGGTACCGAGGCAGGGAGGCTGATACGGCCCTGGTTTAAACGTGGTACCGAGGCAGGGAGGCTGATACAGCCCTGGTTTAAACGTGGTACCGAGGCAGGGAGGCTGATACAGCCCTGGTTTAAACGTGGTACCGAGGCAGGGAGGCATATACAGCCCTGGTTTAAACAGTACCAAGGCAGGGAGGCACATACAGCCCTGGTTTAAACACAGCACCAAGGCAGGGAGGCACATACAGCCCTGGTTTAAACACAGCACCAAGGCAGGGACTGGTTTAAACGTGGTACCGAGGCAGGGAGGCACATACAGCCCTGGTTTAAACGTGGTACCGAGGCAGGGAGGCACATACAGCCCTGGTTTAAACACAGTACCAAGGCAGGGAGGCATATACAGCCCTGGTTTAAACGTGGTACCAAGGCAGGGAGGCTGATACGGCCCTGGTTTAAACGTGGTACCGAGGCAGGGAGGCTGAGACGGCCCTGGTTTAAACAGTACCAAGGCAGGGAGGCACATACAGCCCTGGTTTAAACGTGGTACCGAGGCAGGGAGGCTGATACGGCCCTGGTTTAAACACAGTACCAAGGCAGGGAGGCTGATACGGCCCTGGTTTAAACACAGTACCAAGGCAGGGAGGCACATACAGCCCTGGTTTAAACGTGGTACCGAGGCAGGGAGGCATATACAGCCCTGGTTTAAACAGTACCAAGGCAGGGAGGCACATACAGCCCTGGTTTAAACACAGCACCAAGGCAGGGAGGCACATACAGCCCTGGTTTAAACACCAAGGCAGGGAGGCACATACAGCCCTGGTTTAAACGTGGTACCAAGGCAGGGAGGCATATACAGCCCTGGTTTAAACGTGGTACCGAGGCAGGGAGGCTGATACGGCCCTGGTTTAAACACAGTACCAAGGCAGGGAGGCACATACAGCCCTGGTTTAAACGTGGTACCAAGGCAGGGAGGCTGAGACGGGCCTGGTTTAAACGTGGTACCGAGGCAGGGAGGCTGAGACGGGCGTGGTTTAAACACAGTACCAAGGCAGGGAGGCACATACAGCCCTGGTTTAAACACAGTACCAAGGCAGGGAGGCATATACAGCCCTGGTTTAAATGTGGTACCAAGGCAGGGAGGCTGATACGGCCCTGGTTTAAACGTGGTACCAAGGCAGGGAGGCATATACAGCCCTGGTTTAAACGTGGTACCAAGGCAGGGAGGCATATACAGCCCTGGTTTAAACGTGGTACCGAGGCAGGGAGGCTGCAAGGGGGAGTGGGGGCAGGAAGAGGGGGGCTACAGCAGCACGGGGCAACACTGTGTCTTTGCAACTGGGTGTCCCATCAGAGCATCTTAGAAGAGGAGAAATAACAGAAATTTCTATTATGGCTAATGTCACAAATGAAGAAAATGATCTGAGGTGCCTGGAAATAAAAACACGTAAACAATTACAATGAAGAGATTAAGAGGATATTTTGCAAATAATTTATCCTTTGTATTTTATAGTCGGTAGTGAAACAAATACACCATGAACTAGATGCATTAATACAGTTGATGTTAAACTTGGTTATTCCTGACAAAGAGAAAGAAAAACCACATATATATTTACATATACTTAGATATATACATGTTAATATATGCTTATATGTGCTTATATATAAATATATATACACATGTTAATATATAAATATGTATTTGCTATTTCTGGCAGAGCAGAAAAGCTCATATATACATCTCATATATATTAGATTTATACATTATAATCATGTATGCATCTATATGTTTTTATATATACCTATATAAACATATATAGGTGTAGTGATATATAAACATAAATATTAACATGTATATGAAGGTTTACTTATGTATCCTTATATATACATGTTAAACATTAACATATAATATATAACATATTAACTATATATTTTATCTATACAAATATATAGTATATATAAAATACACATAGTATGTGCATAGGCAAATATATAGTATACATAAAACATATGTAAATTTACTTGGTAATATATTTTATATATATTATATATTTGCCTACACACATACATATACACTTTATATACACTATATATGTAAGTTTACATATATATGTTAACATATTTTATATATACTATATATTTGCCTACACACATACACGTATACTTTTCCTTAGCTGACTATTCACTATTTTGAGAAATAGCTAAATAATATTTATGCTACTTAATAGGTTGTTTTATAATATACACATCGATTTTTTTTCAGACCAAACATTTTCAGTCAAATGCAAATAGGTCTTCTCTAGGCCTCGCATAGCAATGGTGCCAGGTGTTTTGATTATGTTTTCCCTGGCTTTTTCACACGCAAGGAGACATAATAATATTCTTACATATCAAAGAATGCACAAGCAAGCCAGAGTTGCCATCTCATGTCTTTTCATTAGGATCATTAAAAAGTGTGCCTTCTCTAACACTTTCCAATCAACCCCATTGAAGTTCACAGCAAATTTAAAGAGTTATCAACACATCACTCTGACAAAGTTATAATCATCATTTAAAAGGGGGAAACAGAAAGGTTTGGAGTGCCTTGAAAGAAGCTGCTAACTGTGTAAACACTGAGCTGTCGTGTCACCTGTGAACGTCCTTGCCTCCTCTGTAGTATCTATTTAATTGTTACCTTTAAAGGAATTCATTCGGACCACTGATGAACTCTGTGTAGTATTATGCAGACTCGGGCGAGCCTAGGCAGGCGCTGTCTTTAGGAACGCTCGTCCAAAGCTTCCCACACACAGCCCAAGGTGCATATTCAGGCTTGCTACATGTTCCTTTCTGCTCTGCCAGAAATAGCTAATATTTGGCTTAAAATTGTTCATTCTAATATTTGTTATGCCTTTTGAGTTTTGAAATAGCTGGCTTGGCTACATCCTTTTCTTTCGACTTCTATTCAGGATTAGTACAAAAACACTGTGACACGTTTGCTGGGGAAGAGTGGTGTGGGGAGGGGGTGGTGCCTGAGACAGGCCTGGCATGAGAGGAGTGCTGACATGGTAAGACATGCTTTGCTCATCAAAGCCAAATGGTCCACAGCATGAAGTAGCACCACTGTCTGCTGGAAGTTGTTGGTGGGTAACTAAGCTTTAAGTCAAGTGGGTAACTAAGACCCTAGAAAATGTCAGAACCCCACCCCGAGATTGAGGACGGACCACAGGGAGGGGAGTCTCTCAGGATGGACCACAGGGAGGGGAATCTCTCAGGACGGACCACAGGGAGCGGAGCGTCTCAGGGTCGGGTTGTACAGGTGGCTTGTGACGCAACCAGAAGGCACATAATACCGGAAAGAACTTTCCCTCAAAGCGTGCGACCTGATTGCTGTGCTTGTGGGACCAGCAGTTTGGCATCCCCAGAAAGGTTGTTACAAACTCAGTCTCATTCAGACCCACTGAGCCTGCCTCTGAATTTTAACTCCATCCAACCCCAGAGGTGTGTGCGTCTGAGCAGGAGCCAGCGCACAGAGAGCTGCCCCAGGCCACACGGGGCACCGAAGTTCCTATCCAGTGGACCAGATGCCAGAGCCACAGAGCTGTGTGAATTTAAAACAGTGGCAATTTCACAGGAACGAGGCCCTGCATGACTTTGCTGGTGTAAAGGGAATGGCATGGCACAACCATTGACTTTTTTATTATAAACACCTTATCGTCTCTCAATGTCCAGTGGATTCAGGTGCAACCGCCTCCCCCACCAAAAGAGAACAGAAGACAAAGCCAAATCCTGATCATGCCAGGCTGTGCCCGTCCGGCCCCAGTGTGGTCTGGGTGAGCCCAAAGGACGGGCATGTTGTTGCCGAGGAGAGGGGCATGGGAAGGCAATGCCTGCTCTCAGACCAGGGCAGCCTCCGCCACAGTGGCCGGCCATGTTCCTCCTGCGTCCCCTGGGAGATGTGACCAGGACCACTCAGGTGCGGGCGAGGGAGGAGAAGCCACTCCGCTTCCCCCCACACCATCAGGCAGAGCCATGCCCAGCCCTCCAGAAAGAGGGGGCACAGCCATGCCCAGCCCTCCAGAAAGAGGGGGCACAGCCATGCCCAGCCCTCCAGAAAGAGGGGGCACAGCCATGCCCAGCTCTCCAGAAAGAGGGGGCACAGCCATGCCCAGCCCTCCAGAAAGAGGGGGCACAGCCATGCCCAGCCCTCCAGAAAGGGGACATTGTTAGGTTGGCGAAGACTTCTGGAAGCCAGGCAGGCACCACCCCTACAGCCCCTGAGCAGCCTCCCTGCTGCTGCTCACCCGGCCTGGCCTGCCCTGAGGCTGCAGCTCCTGGCGTCCCTCGACTGACTTCGGTGCAGAACGTGGCCTCCTTGCCAGGCACTTTGGTTGTCCCCACCCACAGAGGCTGAGTTCGGGCTCCCGGCCGGCGGCCAGTGCCGCCCTCCCCATGCTCCTGGGGGACGCCTCAATGGCCTGGTGGGGCTCTGAGCGGCCAAGGCTGCCCTCGTGTGGCTGCAGAGAAGAACAGGCTCAGCCGAGCAGAGGGCAGCTGGGGACCCCAGGTCCTGGCTCTGGATGAGGAATCGCAGAGCTGTCCGTTCAGCGTGCTCTTCACTGAGCGTGCCGAGTGTGCACTGCTGAAACCGGAAGCAAATCCAGTTGAATGTCGACCCACCAGAAACTCCTCTGACTCTGCTGAACCCCCACTGAATCAAGGGAACCATGCCTGGAAAAGTCATTCGGATTTCCATGTAGGGTGCAAGCCAGGCGCGGTGGCTCATGCTTGCATCCCAGCACTTTGGGAGGCTGAGGCGGGCGGATCACCTGAGGTCAGGAGTTCGAGACCACCCTGGGCAACATAGCCAGACCCCATTGCTACAAAATTAAAGAAATTAGCTGGGTGTCGTGGCCTATGCCTGTGGTCCCAGCTCCTTGGGAGGCTGAGCAGGCAGGATCTCTTGAGCCCAGGAGGTCAAGGCTGCAGTGAGCCATGATCACACCTGCGCTCCAGCCTGGGCAACACAGCAACACCCTGTCTCAAAAATAAATACGTAAATGTAGGCAGCTGGTGGAAATCATGTATCTATCAGGCACTGTGCAGAGAAACCAAGCACATCTCTGGGTCCCACTTGGCCAGGGCTGCAGCCCAGCAGCATCACCTGTGCCTCCTAAGTGTGGGTGCCGGTTGGTGAGAGCGTCCTGTTACTTGGCACGTTACATTTATAAGGTGTCATCCCATAAGAACGAGAGCTAAGAGCCGTCAGAGAACAAGCAGGTATAGAACGGGCTCCAAGCTGGTTCCCCACTACCACCTCCAGGCCAATACCACGGCAGGCTCACAGAGCCCTGTCCCTTCCGAATCATCCACAGGTGACCAAAAACACAGGGTCCTACTGCTTTTATGAGCTGTGGAGCATTTAGAAACTCTCCCATGTTCCCCATCCCCAGCATTTTCAACATGGGACAATGAACAGCTGTGCTACGTGTTTTTAAGCCATCAGCAAATACTTGTGCTAAAGTAAACTGTCATGGAAGCACGGCAGGCCTTCCCAAATATTTGCCTCAGGGTGGAATTAGCCACGCTTCTCCCTAATCCGCCTCTTGAATGGCGCGCGTGGGGAGGAGCAGCCTCCCCAGCCCTGCGCCCGCAGGAGACTCCCCTGGCTCTGAACACCCTGTGTGTGTCCCCAGGACCCCAGCGCCATGCCAAGGCCGACGTCACAGGACCTGGCCGGCTACTGGGACATGCTGCAGCTCTCCATCGAGGACGTCAGCATGAAGTTCGACGAGCTGCAGCGGCTTCGGCTCAATGACTGGAAGATGATGGAGTCCCCGGAAAGAAAGGTAACGGCGTCTGTGTAGGGCCAGCTCCCCGCAAACCCCCTTTGCCACTGCAGTAACAACCTGCTGCAGGTACCGCATGACAATGGGGTTCTCAGTCTTTTGCTGGCAGCACAGGAGCACGTTTCCCTCTATGTATGTGTGCATGTGTGCGGCATGTGCCCAAAATGGGGCGGAATCGAAGCCTTGGGCATGGGTGGTAAATCATAGGGCCTTCCCTGCTCTGTCTCTTCTATATAAGCCTTTCAGAGAGACACTAGCCAAGATGACAGGAAAATCTGCAGCCTCATTCCGGACAGGCGTCTCACCTCTGAATTATATTCATCAAACCTGTTCTGATCGTGTAAATATGAAGCTGGTTTCCCACAGGGGAAGTTTTAGCCCTGCTTATGGACTGTCTCCTAGTCAATATACCTTCTAGTACAGCCACGATAGGCAAGGCAACATTTCATACCTTATCGAACAGTTTGATGAATTAATCTTCCTGTAGATCCATCAGCCTCAGCCCTTAAAATAGGCTGAAATTTCCCATTAAATCTGAACCCTGGCATTTCACTTCTTCCATGTTGCTGTCATCAGAAGAACTAGTAGATGGTTCTGAGTCAGCAGCAGACACTGATTTCCTCACACGTTTTAGAGACGTCCTGAGGAACCATCATTGGATTTTTCTAGACAAATGTTATCAATTAAAATGATAAAGAAAATCAAGTCAGCATCCTTTGGGGGAAGTGGTGTTTGCACACCTGGGTCATTAGAACGAGAGCCAAGGCTGATCGTCCTCATCAGCTCCTCCCAGAAGGTGTCCTGGCTGCGTTCCAGGCCAGATGCCATCGATCCAGATTCCCTCTCATCCCAGATGACAGGGAGCAGGGTGGGAGCACACAGGGTCTGTGTAAGCCACGCATGGGACAGATGCACATGAGCCACACGTGGGACAGGTCCACTTAAGCCACATGCGGGGCAGGTCCACATAAGCCACACGTGGGACTAGGCAGGTCCAAGTAAGCCACAGTTTGGATCTGAGGTGAAGGAAATGATCAGTGATGTTGAGTAAGAAGGCTGTTCAAATGGAACGTACTGAAGTTAGCCCAGGTGCATGCGATGGTTCCATCTAGTTTCCATTCTTTGGTCATTGAGAGTGAATGTGAGCCCATCTACCCAAGCTGCACATAGAGTATGATTCTCAAAATGGAAATGTCTTCGGGAGGCTGGGTGGATCACGAGGTAAGGAGATGGAGACCCTCCTGGCTCACATGGTGAAACCCCATCTCTACTAAAAATACAGAAAGTTAGCAGGGCACGGTGGCTCACGCCTGTAATCCCAGCACTTTGGAAGGCCGAGGCGGGCGGATCATGAGGTCGGGAGATGGAGACCATCCCGGCTAACACAGTGAAACCCTGTCTCTACTAAAAATACAAAAAAAGTTAGCCGGTCGTGATGGCGGGCACCTGTAGTCCCAGCTACTCAGGAGGTTGAGGCAGGAGAATGGCGGGAACCCGGCAGGCAGAGCTTGCAGTGAGCCGAGATTGCGCCACTCACTCCAGCCTGGGTGACAAAGTGAAACTCCATCTCAAAAAAAAAAAAAAGAAATGGTTTCTTGCTGAGAGCAGAGCACACCAGTCCAGAAAGTGAGCAGAGGCTCCATGCCTGAAGAGGCGGCCCTGCCCCTCCTGAACATGGCATCTTAAAATTCCCTGGGGTGAGACTGGCGGATCACGAGGTCAGGAGATCGAGACCATCCTGGCTAACACGGTGAAACCCCGTCTCTACTAAAAAAATACAAAAAACTAGCCAGGTGAGGTGGCGGGCGCCTGTAGTCCCAGCTACTGGGGAGGCTGAGGCAGGAGAATGGCGGGAACCCGGGAGGCGGAGCTTGCAGTGAGCCGAGATCGCGCCACTCACTCCAGCCTGGGCGACAGAGCAAGACTCCATCTCAAAAAAAAAAAAAAAAAAAATTTACGGCATCTGCTGGACACTCCTACAGAGCCACACCCGCAGGCTTAGAAGCTCCTCTGAACGGGGAACCCCACAGTAAATACTGATGTGTGCGCCTCACAGGCTCACAGTTCAGGGGACACCAAAGGAGCAAAGGGACCCTCTTCTTTCCTCTCCTCTTGGCGTCCCCTGAACTATGAGGACAGTCATGTGCTGAAACCAGGAATCACTTGTTAAAGTAGCTGAAGGTTTCAGTGAACCCATCGCCCCGGTGTTTTAGATGGATGCCGAGAAGTCAGGTAAGAGTCATTGCTCCCGGCCTAGGTCGTGTAAAATAAGCCGAGGGAAGAAAGTTCCAGACACCAAAGCAGCCTCCGTGCCACAGGCCTCCTCCGCACTCACACTACCTGTCTTCCCCGATCTCCAAGCACCTCTGGGCTCCCTGTGGAATGTTTCAGAGGCTGAAGAGAAAAAGACACGAGTGGGGTTTTCATGCTTTTCTCCCCCAAAATTAGATACTGACTTAGGAAAGGGGTTCTGACGCCTTCTGCCACGCGCCCTTTCCTGGGAAGGAAACAGCTGGCTACAGAGTCCCCGTCATGGCTCCGTCCAGAAGGGGAGACGGGGCAGGTCCCACTGTCTTTAGGAACGATGTGAATGCACAGTTGTGGACACAGACGTTTTGCGGGGGCAAGTGCAAGCTTTACCCTTTGCATTTGTTGCGTAATTGTGAGATTTATCTTTCTAAAAAGGCATACACGTATTTTAGCGCGACTTATCTGAGAATCTGAGCTAAGGGTCAGGAATACTTATTTGCATCTTTTTACAAAGCAAGCCAGTGAATAGTGGTTTTATAAATATCATCCCTGTCAGTGGGATTTGAGGCCAACAAGAGAATTCGGCCAGTGTTTCCCCACACACCCACCCATGTAAGATGGTTTTCATGAACACACTTGGAATCCCAGAGTCTGCGGAAATCCCTGCAGTGTTTAATAGGGATGTCCAGCGATGGTGTCCAAAACCCTCGCAGTGCCGAGCTTGGCGACGCAGGTATCGGCCGATGCTCAGAGGAGATGACACAGGGCTTCGGGAAGTGCAGGAATCAGGCAACAATGTCAGAATAACTCAGTGACTCCAGAGACGCAAGGCGCGAATCTGCAGAATGTATTTCCTGATTTGTGAACCCTGCCCCCAACGCCTCTGCCCCCTTTGAATTCAGAGTGTGAGGGAGCTTCTAAAATTACATACTGTGCAGAAGGCAAGCCTGTGGCCTGGGAGTCAGGGACCAGGGGAAATGTGGGAAGGGAATGAAGGATGCTGCCACGGGGGTTGCGGTCGGGAAGGGTGTGGGCCAGACCCCAGGGCCACTGAGCTGTTAAGGACCCACCTCCCACCACCTGCCAATGTTGACTTGTGATGCTTTTCAGGAAGAAAGAAAGGTCCCACCTCCAATACCAAAGAAGCCCCCCAAAGGGAAATTTCCCATCACAAGAGAAAAATCCCTGGACCTGCCCGACAGACAACGTCAGGAAGCCCGGAGACGACTCATGGCCGCCAAGCGAGCGGCGTCCTTCCGGCAGAATTCTGCCACCGAGCGTGCGGACAGCATCGAGATCTACATCCCCGAGGCCCAGACCCGGCTCTGAGGACGGAGGCCGGCCACCTTCCCCTTGGTTGTTTCTGCTTTTTCACAAAACGCTTGTACAGTTTGTTGCCTCCCTAGTGGTTTCTGTCTCATTTCTTCCACTGAACACGCCCTTGCTCTTATGCTCCTTGTACCGTGAACACAGTGGAATGCGGTCAGTGGCCTCAGAGTCCACGGAGCTCGTGGCGAGGACGACTTTTGTTTTTTTTTTTTTTTTAAACTGGTGGCCTGGCTCACACTCGGCTCTGAGGGACAGGCGTGGTGAGACCTGACTTCTCCGTGTTCTCAGAGGACGGCGAGAAATGCCTCTGGAGCTGGAACCCAGCTTACATTTTGTTATTTCTATTTTTATAAATTGTGTGATAATTAGAGGTAAGAATAATAACTATAAATGGGTGCATCTCACCACCCCCTAGAGGCATTAGACACCCAAGAGGAAGGTGCTACAACCTGAAGTGCAGGAAGAAAGGCCCACTCCCCTCGCACACCCAAGCTTTTGCTCCCTGAGCGCAGGCAGCCCATCCACCCGCTCCGCCCTCCTGCTCCTGTTTGTCACAGGTAGAAAACATTAGGCTCCTTGTGTCCAGCTTACTGTGAGGGAAAGTTCTCTCTCCAGCCACCAAACTCCCCACCATACAGTTCTCCAGCATCCCAGGGGATGACAAATCTGAACCCACTAAAATACCCAGCACAGCATCTACACATTGAAAAGATAAGCCGAGTGTTCCCACGAGGAAGTCACAGGCAGAGAGAGGAGAGTCTTACGGAGGGCTGGGAGCATAAAGGGGAAACAATGTCCTTACTTCTATGAAATAGTTATTGTATTTTTTATTTCTTTGTAACTTAAAATACGACACCCAGTATTTTCTTTAAGTTTCACCATTTATGCTACATGTGATTTTTTTAATGTATGTATATATATTCTCAAATTGTTCTATCAGCTGACTTTCCAGGGTATCCTTAAAAAAAAAACCACGAAAAAAAAACACAAAAAGTTTGCTTGTTTAAAATGACAATTGTGATGTTGTAAAAAGTTTCAGAAATATGAATGTGAGTGGTAAGTATATCTCAGTTTAAATGGTAAAGAAGAAATGTAGTTTACATTTGTATTTTTCCAGAATTATTTTGTCCTATGCAGTATTGCTTAAGTCAAGAATATATTCCTTGCCTGTGTTAGACCTGAAGGGAAAAAGAGGTCACATATTGTGATTTCCAGCTGTGGAATTCAAAAAAAAAAAAAAAAAAATTAGTGTTCATGACTCTGTGGTCGGTGCCAGAGGAAAATAGGAACGACTAATAGGCTCTCCGTGTGTATCATTAAATTCAGCTGCCACGACCGTTGTTCCAACACAACTTGTTCACAGTTCAGACCAGTCTTCGCAGGAAAAGCCTATCAGATTTCAGAGTCCAGTTATTACTGGTTCCAGTTTCACAGTCCTCGTTATTACTCAGAGTAAAAGCAGGACTGCGATGTAAGATGTTTCCACCCCAGTACCTGGTCTTCCTTCCCGGCTTAAGGAGTACCATGTACTTAGCCACAGGCAGAGCCGCTTTCGAGGACGACCCCGTAGCACTTTGTTTCTTCACCTTGATTTGCACTTTACAGCGTCCCCGGCCCCTCCGCAGCCCGTGGCTGGCAGGGCGTTCCAGGCGCAGCTGTCCGGCAGAGCGCCCTCCAGAGCCGCGGGGTCTCCCTGCCTCATTCGCCACATCCCACGGAGCATGGGACCATTGGGAGCAGAGCTGATACTAAAGCATGTTTAGCTTCGAAGTTTTACTTTTTTAAAGCTGAGTAGTTAAGAATTCCCTGTAACAACAAAACCCTGTAAATTGAGCCTCGTATCTGGTATATATTTTACCAAACAGCCTTAAAATATATTTGGAAGCAAAAATCAGTACGAATGTATCTCCTTGAAAAATGCAAAAAAAAAAAAAAAAAAATCCCTGAAATATTCTTCTATAAATGAATCCTATTTCCCCAGGGTGTTCAAAGCATTTTTCTACCTAAATACCTAAATTTTGAGTAGTGTACAGTAATGATGCTTCTTCCTATATCCACTCTATTATGTTAAAACAAATGTATTTGCGAGTATTGGCATTTTAGACTTTAAAAATGCTGTATGATTTCAGATGAACTCTGCTGTTTAAAAATAACCACAGAAAAGCAAAGTCAGTGTGCACTCCGAGTGAAAGGAAATGTAATGTGGATACAGGCCCGCCACCTCCTCACGTTGGTCTATCTACTGGCAGCTGATATGTTTCACTCATTTCCTTGAGCAGATACAAACGTATAAAAACAAACTGTTAAAGTAGACAATAATTACTCGTCTCAGATCCCAGATTCTATGATCCCTGCTTAAAATGTTCACTGGATGTAGGTTGATTTCTTACGTTGTGTAGACTCATTATTTTTCAATCCCCAAAAGTCTTGGCCTAAACCATCCCTAGGTGAGCAGATCAACCTACCACTACATTGCACAGGGGTTGGTGACTCGACGTGGTGAATGTGGACACGCCCTGCTCGGTCCGCCATGTTCCAAAGAAGATGATTTAATGGTAGAACGGATACCTGCTGCTAGACCTGATGGAATGTTACCTGTCCGTGTTACATAATCAAGTGCAATATACTCAGTTCTCATGCAGGTGACATTCTACCATGAAACGCAGAAGATAAGCCATGTTTATGTATCGTACATGTCAAGAAAAATAAAACTGTTTATGATACTTGTGTTAGTTACTCGAGCTAGCTTATTTCAGCCACTTCTAGCAGATACATACCATGGAGCTCACGTGTGACCATTTCGTCATATTTAAAATACAGTTTTAAGAAAAGAGTAAACATCCATTGGAGAACATGGCTGAAAATTATTGTGCTGTTCTAGGAACATCATCGGAGAGTGTGATGTTCACTCTAACCCCATACCCACATTCTCTAATGATACAGCCAATGACGGGTGAAACCCAGACACTTTCCGTATAGCCGACAGGTTGATCCTGCTCTGTTGAAGGCTGTAGTTAATAAAACACAAGTATGATAAACAGGACCTCGCATTTAGCCCAGGAAAGGAGAATGCTGCTTGTTACCCGGGGTGCTTTTCTTGTGATGCGTCTCATGCATCTTCACGTGTTATTGTGTTGAAGTAAAACTAGCTGTTCTCAATGACAATTTTTACCATATTTTTCTCAGCAAATTTATATCACCATCTTAGAATGGTATATAAAAAATTGAACTGTGTATGATACCAAAAAATTAGTTTTGTTTAAAAGGAAATGTTTTCAACTCCAAATCAATTCTAAAAACTTCGAGCACGTATTTGAAAGGTAAATGGTTAGATAAAAATATAAATTACATGTAAGGTTATCTGGTTTTTTTGTTTAAAAAAAAAAAAAAAAGGCTACAAAATCAGTGACCTGCTAAGTAGAGGGAATTTCTCCCTGCTGCTTCTTATGACAGTGGCCAGGTTTATGATTAGAAGACACAGTGGCAGAGCACACACGTGCATAGGTTCTGATTATTTCTCTTGGAGCGTATGTCCTTGTCTTCCCTGTCTTGATTCTTGCCTTTTCAATGCCATATTAAGCAGCCACTGTTTCCACCCCTTTCATTAGAAGGCCCTGCATCTGTAAATTCGCTCATCTCTGTTTTCGTGAGATCCTTGTAAGCATCGCTACCCCAGTTCAGGATGGAATTCCACAGGAAAGTGAAGGGATACTGCAGGCCTGTGTTTGGAGCGCCTGTGGTGACCATAGAATGAGCTGTATTAGGGACCGCTCTCTGGTTTGGGCCAAACCTTTTGGGGGCGAGTAGGGAGTTGGGGAGGTGGGTCTGAGTCTTCCTCAGGAGGGCCTTTTCTATCGGCAGGACCTCCATCAAATCAAGCCATCCTGTGGTCCTGAGTACTAAGGGGCCAGGGGACCTCCTGGGAGACGCAGCTCGTGTTTCAGCTGTGTTTCATCAGTCAGCCTTGCTTGGAATTCTGGCAGGTTCCCTGGGGTGTTTCAGCAGACAGGAGGCCTATGTGCCGTGGCCAAGTCAGCCTGGGTACCCCAGTCACCAGCAGGGCCATCCTTGATGACAGGGCCCCCCACGAACCTGGGAGAGGCAGCAGGAAATGTGTAAGAGTGTGTGCAGGGGTACGGACGTAAAAGCGTTGCCCAAAACAGCACTGGTTCGGGGAGGGCCCCTGGATACTTCCTTTGGCCCTGGAATCGCCCCACCTTTGAGCATAGAAACAAGCTCCTCCAACACGGGCCGAAATAACCAAACTCCCCATGGTTCTTGTGTGCTCACTTCCCAGCCCTCTTCTTGTCAAGCCTGAACTTCATTTTTTTTCTAACTGCAAATTTTACAGGCTGGTTTAAAACAGCAGTTTTCGGACGACAGCCCCTGGGAATGTGCGAGGGTTGTCTTGTTTTGATCTGCATGTCTGTTTACACTTCTCTGTAGGCATGGGTTGAATACAAGGTTCCAAAACTTGAAAATAAAAGAGAAAACCATGAGCTTAAGAGATGAAAAAGATGACCCCTTTCTGAGTAGGATCCGTAACCCTGTGGACTGGGGCAACGCAATGTGCTTCATTCAGCACCGTGTCAGCCATAACACACACCACGGGGGGTCAGATCAGAGCCACGGCTTCCCTTGCGGGTGCCCCATCTTGTTGCTATTAGTTGGGAGTTGCAATACATTGTTGGCCATAAACAAAGTGCTAAAGGAAAGGGCTTGTTCTATGCATTCGGTTGAATGTCCCCCAGTGCAGAGTAGCAGCAGAATGTTCTGGAAATAAAGGAGCTATTGCTAGGAATCTCTAGGCCGTTAGTCAGGCAACCTGGCTTTTATTCATCCTCAGCCAGCAACTCATCTCAGTTTTTTCCTCTGGAAAGGGGATTATAGTTCCTGTCCCCATCTCCCTTGAGGACACATTGTGAGGATTAATGATATATTGGCTCTAAAGTCCTTTGAGCTCCTGGGAACAGGTGGTGAAAGTGTGAGTTCTTGCTAAGGATTAGTCCCTGGCCTCTTCTGGAAGGCTGCCCTCCCAGCTCTGCAAGGGATGCTGCCAAAATCCAGGCTGGTTGTAAACATCTCAGATAATCAGGGACCACCAGAGGCAAAGGCCATGAGACTGTCTTTGGGAAGGTTTGGAAATGGAGAAGTAACTACAAGGGCCATTCTCCTTAGCTTCTGGCTTTCATTTCAACTGTTTCTAGATGCTTCCAAGAACAAGAACCCAGCATCAACCAGAATTAGGCCACGTTTTCACCATTACTTAAGCTCAGTTGCCTCTTAGATGAAATGAGGAGATACACTAAACATTAAAGTGATAAAGGAAAAAAAAAAAATTTGGAAGCAGAAAATTGCATGGGTAGGGAAACAGCAGGAACGAAATCAGACACAGTGACTCAAACCACAGAAGGGTTTGAGAAGCCCACCCCTCTAATTAATTCCTCTATTTCACACTTCAGAGAAGGCAGAGGTGGTCCGTGGGAAAGCTCTGGGAAATAACCATCTTTCATCCTTGCCACATTGAAAAATGTCCACAATTTTATGAATTGCTGTCCTAACTCTGGCGTTTTTATCCAGTGTTAAAATAAATTATTTCAAGTTTCAATGTAAACACTTAACAGATGACTTCTTTGCAGAGGAAATGTTCGTTACCTACTATCAAACTACTTTTTAACAGATTTTGTACATACACACACCAAGGTGACAGATTTACCTCCCTACTTTCTTAGATTTTCTGTAACTCTTTTCATTGGTGCTTATTCAGAACCTGAAAGCCTTGGGCATCCAAGCTTTCGCCTACTCAGTGGAGAGGTGATAATGAATGAGAAGATTGACACCAGGTTTCTTGGACAAATTTAAGTTCAGATTTATCTCTTTCAAGTAGACCATGGTCTCCCTAGAGAGTGTGTTGGTTTGGGTCTGCCAGTACGACAACGGATGCTCCCAGCTTGATCGTGGTACCTTATGGAAGCCACTCACCCATTCTCTGATTTACCCCCAGAACACTACCATGCCCCAGCCCCACTCATTTGAATAATACAATCATATCACTTTCAAAGGGCTCAGCATGAATGTCCCCCTCACTCCACTTTCTAACTGGTTTGCTGAACTCAACAAAGCTTCCCCTTACGAGCAGTGAGACCTAGGCTCCTTTTGAATGCTTCCTTCCGAACGGTAAGCCACTTCACTCTCGGACAGGACAGGTCCTCCCTGCAGAGACACAACTCATCCCTGACCTTCCATACTACAGACCAAAATACCCAGGTGTGGCCTAAGGACTACATTAAATGCCTCCTATAGAAATTCAAGGAATGTTAGAACCAGGAAACTAGCTGTTTAGTTAAAGTTTTAAAGAAGTATATAAATATATATATATAAAAATATAAATATGAAATCATATCGAGTGTGAGGATGAACAGAGTGCCAAATATTCAGCATCTGTACAAAGTCATTCACTGGAATTAAACTATTTTATGTAATTCTCTTTCTCATGCTTTTATGGTTCTTTTGATAAATTCTATTTAGTAGCATGCAGGATACCTAATCTGAATGTGCAATATGCTATTCATCACCGCGACAATTTCTTACTTCTTCTTAGTAACTTATCAGAATGTTAGTCGTTCCTTTAAGGCATTTAAGGATTGCTTTATTTGTGTTCTTTTTTCCCATGACTTTTTTTCACTCATCTGACTGTAAGAAATGCGCACCGTTTCCGCCATAACCCTCTGTGATGATGCCTCCATTTGACTCTTGTATCGCTGTTCACCTCCTGTAAATAGTTCTGCAATTAAATTTTTTGAGAAAAGTAATGTTTACTTTTTTATTGGAGTGAATTCTCGTGTTATTTTAATCTCAGAAAAATTATACAGACCAAAGAGTTTTATCCGAAAAGAAATTACACTCTTCCTCCATTATATATTTCATTGTTGAAATACCCTCAATTTCTCTATATTTTAAGAAGTAATGGACATTTATTAAGGCTACAGATTTAATATGTATGCAAAAATGGTATAGATTAAATGAGTTTTTAATTAATAAATCCTACAGTATTTAGTTAACGGTTGTTTTACGCTCTTTTGAGTTGCATTGAAAAGAGACGCACATTAGCTCCCTGGACCTCACAGATCCAGGCTCCAGTGAGACGGTGGGATGTGGACGTGGTGACGAAACTCCAGGAGGACAAGTGGGTTCCACTGAGCCTGCAGCTGCCAGGAAGCAGTGCGAGCCAGTCCATCCAGGGAGGTGGACCAGTCCGGGGAGGGGACCAGTCCAGGGAGGGGACCACTCCAGGAGGTAGACCGGTGCGGGAGGTAAACCAGTGCGGGAGGTAGACTGGTTAGAGAAGGTGGACCAGTCTGAGGAGGGGACCAGCCTGGGGAGGTGGACCAGTCGGGGAAGTGGACCAGGCCAAGGAGGTGACCAGTCGGGGAGGTGATGAGTCGGGGAGGCGGACCAGGCCGGGGAGGTGGACCGGGCTGGAGAGGTGGACCAATCCGGGGAAGTGACTGGTCCAGGGAAGTGACCAGTCCAAGAGGTGGACCAGTCCGGGAAGAGGGACCGGGCCGGGGAGGTGACCAGTCCAGGAGGTGGACCTGGCCGGGGAGGTGACCAGACCGGGGAGGGAGACCAGTCTGGGGAGGGGGACCTGGCCGGGGAGGGGGACCTGGCCGGGGAGGGGGACCTGACCGGGGAGGGGGACCACACGTTACCACTCTGAGCAATTGCTCCCTGCCTTCAACCTCCTTGATCAGCTGCACTTTTTCTCTTGCCTGTGACCAGCTAGTCTCACTCCCATCGGTGAAGTCCTGCTGCCTTATGTCTCTTTCTGTGCACTCCTTGCCTGGATACTCTGAGTAGTGCTCTCCCATCTCCCCAAGGGCACAGTGCAGCTCCTGAGGATGACCCTCCCCCAGTGCACATCAGGACGGTGTTTGAGGATGACCTTCCCCCAGTGCACATCAGGACGGTGTTTCATGCATTGGTTTTCCTGTCTTTCCTTTACGGTATTTCTTTTCATGATATACTTATAACCAGCAAATGCAAAGCTTTATATAGTTTTCTTTTTTAATGCCATAGCCCTTCAATAAATATTTTAATTTACTTGGCCTTTCATTTGAAACTTGATACCTTCATCCTCATGTGGTCAAACATTTTCCCAGAAGTCAGTAAAAGTACAAATAAATTAATATGGAATTCATTTTAAATTATAACAAGATAATTTATAGAACCTTTTAATTAAAAACCAAGGGACCAGTGCATGAGAATTTCTGGTTTCTCATAAAGCATTCTATCCTCACAACAAGAAAAAGTGGAGCAAGCTGAAAATCAGCAATTCTTTGCAGATTCTTATCAGAATGAATGTCACAGGCAAACAGCTCCCCCAGAATGGCAGAGGCCGACACAGAGACTCACAACCCACTGAGCAGATGCCCAGGTACAGATGCCTCCGTGAGGACCCGTGCTGGGCTGGGGAAGCCTGACCTGCAGCTGACAAACCCAGAAGCTCAACATGGACAAACCTGAGGACTGAAAACTCTAGGGGGCCCAGTCTTAGGACGCCCCTCACACTTTGTGAGCTTTACCCCCAGGAACCCCCCTAGGTTCTCAGGGTGTAGATCAGAGAAAAACGCCCTTGTGTTTCCAGCAGGTGGGGAGAAAGTAGCCATTCTGAAATATGCCCAGAGCATCTGTTCACCTGACACAAGGCCCTCCAGTGAAAGAATCCTACCAAAGCCTAACAAACAGACTTGGGGTTTGCCAGAGTCTGACGTATCTAGGGGAAGCCCCCTCTAGCCATCCTAAGGCAGGGGTGGGGAGGAGGGACTGAGAAGGATTGATGAAGACCAGAGCTCAGGGCACAGGCTCACTGAAAGACGGAGACCCAATCATAGGATAAGAGAAAGCTTCCCCTCCCCTCACACCTTACCATTCCATCAATAGCACTTCTGTATTTAAAAGAGGGGAGGCCGGGCATGGTGGCTCGCACCTGTGATCCCAGCACTTTGGGAGGCCAAGGTGAGAGGATCACTTGAGCACAGGATTTTTTAAAAAAGAGACCCAACAACATGCTGTCGACTAGAAAAGTGCTTTAAATAAGAAGACACGGATTAAAAGTGGCACCGTGGAGCAGTGCATACCGTGCTGACACCAATCCAAAGAAAGCTGCAGGTACTGCATCAACACCAAACAGGGCACCCTTCAGACAAGGAGTCTCCTCCGGGACGCAGAAGGACGTGACATGATAAAGAGGCCAGTTCTCCACAAAGGTGTGACAGTGCTCAATGTACCTGTGCCCAAAAACAGTATCAAGTGACACAAAAAAAGCAGAACTACAAAGAAAGAAATCCACTGTGACGGTTAGAGAGCTCAGCACCTGTCTACCAGTAACCGACAGATCCAGCCGGCAGAAAATCAGGAAGGACATAGCTGACCTCAATAGCACCCCTGGTTACCTAGCTATGATGAACACCTAACACCCTACTTCATCCAGCTACAGCAGAACACACATGCTTCCCAAGCTACACTCTGGGCTACGAAACACACCTTAACAAATGTAAAAGAATAAAAAGAATAGAGTCACACAATGTACGCACTCTCAATTCCACAACGGAGTTAAACGAGAAATCAGTAACAGAAAGAGAGTTGGAAAGTCCCAAAACACGTGGAGATTAAGCAATGCACTTCTAATAACACATGGATCTACAAAGAAGTCTCAAAAGAAATTTAAAAATATTTAAACGGAATGAAAATAACAATACAATATATGTAAATTTGTGAGATGCAGCAAAAGTAGTACCTGGAAAAAATTCTAGTGTCCAATGCCTGTATTAGAAAAGAATGATCTAAAACCAATCATTTAGATTTCCACCTTAGGAGGCGGTTAGACCCAAAGTAAGCACAGGAATAGAAATAATAAAAATTAGAGCAGAAATTAATAAAATTGAAAATAGGAAATAGAGAAAAATAACATAATCAAAAGCCAGTGTTTTGAAAAGATCAATAAAATTGATAAGCCGCTAACCAAGCTAAGCAAGAAAAAAAAGAGAGATGACATAATTTACTAATACTAGAAATGAAAGAAAAAGCATTACTACAGATCCATGAACATCAAAAGGATAACAAAATAAAATCAGAGGGCCAGATGTGGAGGCTGACACCTGTGATCCCAGCACTCTCAAAGACTGGGGCAGGAGGATTGCTTGAGTTCAGGAGTTTGAGACCAACTTATGTAACACAGTGAGACTCCATCTCTACAAAATTTTTTTTTTTTAATTAGCCTGGTGGGGACTCACTGGCAAGATGGCTGAATAGGAACAGTTCTGGTCTGCAGCTCCCAGCAAGTTTGATGCAGAAGGCGGGTGATTTCTGCATTTCCAACTGAGGTACCTGGTTCATCTCACTGGGACTGGTTGGACAGTGGGTGCAGCCCGTGGAGGGCGAGCTGAAGCAGGGTGGGGCGTCACCTCACCCAGGAAGCGCAAGGGGTCGGGGAATTCTCTCCCCTACCCAAGGGAAGCCACAAGGAACTGTGCTGTGAGAAACAGTGCACTCTGGCCCAGATACTGCTCTTTTCCCACGGTCTTTGCAACCTGCAGACCAGGAGGTTCGCTCCAACGCCTACGCCACCAGGGCCCTGGGTTTCAAGCACAAAACTGGGCAGACACCAATCTAGCTGCAGGAGTTTTTTGTTGTTGGTGGTGGTGGTGGTGTTTTTTATTTTTTTCCATACCCCAGTGGCACCTGGAAAGCCAGCGAGACAGAACCGTTTGCCCTCCTGGAAAAGGGGCTAAAGCCAGGGAGCCAAGTGGTCTGGCTCGGAGGGTCCCACCCCTGAGGAGCCCAGCAAGCTAAGATCCACTGGCTTGAACTTCTTGCTGCCAGCACAGCAGTCTGAGGTTGACCTGAAATGCTCGAGCTTGGTGAGGCTTGAGTAGGCAGTTTTACCCTCACAGTGTAGCAAATCCTCTGGGAAGTTCAAACTGGGCAAGCCCACCGCAGCTCAGCAAGGCCACTGTGGCCAGACTGCCTCTCTAGATGCCTCCTCTCTGGGCAGGGCATCTCTGAAAAAAAGGCAGCAGCCCAGTCAGGAGCTTATAGATAAAACCCCCATCTCACTGGGACAGAGCACCTGGGGGAAAGGGCGGCTTTGGGTGCAGCTTCTGCAGACTTAAACCTCCATGCCTGGTGGCTCTGAAGAGAGCAGTGGATCGGGCCGGGCGCGGTGGCTCAAGCCTGTAATCCCAGCACTTTGGGAGGCCGAGACGGGCGGATCACGAGGTCAGGAGATCGAGACCATCCTGGCTAACACAATGAAACCCCGTCTCTACTAAAAATACAAAAAAATTAGCCGGGCGTGGTGGCGGCGCCTGTAGTCCCAGCTACTTGGGAGGCTGAGGCAGGAGAATGGCGGGAACCCGGGAGGCGGAGCTTGCAGTGAGCCGAGATCGCGCCACTGCACTCCAGCCTGGGCGACAGAGCGAGACTCTGCCTCAAAAAAAAAAAAAAAAAAAAAGAAGAGAGCAGTGGATCTCCCAGCACAGCATTCAAGTTCTGCTAAGGGTCAGACTGCCGTGTATCCTGACTGGGAGAAACCTCCCAGTAGAGGCCAACAGACGCCTCATACAGGAGAGCTCTGGCTGGCATCTGGTGGGTGCTCCTCTGTGATGAAGCTTCCAAAGAAAGGAACAGGCAGCAATCTTTGCTGTTCTGTAGCCTCCGCTGGTGATACCCAGGCAAATAGGGTCTGGAGTGGACCTCCAGCAAACTCCAGCAGACCTGCAGCAGAGAGTCCTGTTAGAAGGAAAACTAA